AATTAAAGAAATTAAAGAAATTAATGAATTTCATTAATTTCGTTAATTTCTGGGCCTCTCTGTGCGAAATTAAAGAAATTAATTAATTTCTTTAATTTCATTAATTTCATTAATTTCTTTAATTTATTTTAATTAGTCCCGTGAGCCGGGGGGGCTACCCCAATTAATTTCTTTAATTTCTTTAATTTCTGGGCCTCTCTGTGAGAAATTAAAAAAATTAAAGAAATTAATTCAGGTAGCCCTTCGGGCTTGCGAGACTAATTAAAAGAAATTAAAGAAATTAAAGAAATTAAAGAAATTAATGAAATTAATTAATTTCTTTAATTTCTTTAATTTCTGGGCCTCCCTGTGAGAAAATTAAAGAAATTAAAGAAATTAATTAATTTCATTAATTTCTTTAATTTCTGGACCTCTCTGTGAGAAATTAAAGAAATTAAAGAAATTAATTAATTTCATTAATTTCTTTAATTTCTGGGCCTCTCTGTGCGAAATTAAAGAAATTAAAGAAATTAATTAATTTCTTTAATTTCATTAATTTCATTAATTTCATTAATTTCTTTAATTTATTTTAATTAGTCCCGTGAGCCGGGGGGGGGCCCCCAATTAATTTCTTTAATTTCTTTAATTTCTGGGCCTCTCTGTGAGAAATTAAAGAAATTAAAGAAATTAATTCCGGTAGCCCTTCGGGCTTGCGAGACTAATTAAAAGAAATTAATGAAATTAATTAATTTCTTGAATTTCTTGAATTTCTGGGCCTCTCTGTGAGAAATTAAAGAAATTAAAGAAATTAATCAATTTCATTAATTTCTTTAATTTCTGGGCCTCTCTGTGCGAAATTAAAGAAATTAAAGAAATTAGTTAATTTCTTTAATTTCATTAATTTCATAAATTTCTTTAATAAAATTTCCCTGATGTTTCCCTGTTGCGCTTTTTTTTGGCCCCGATTGTTTCAGGGAAGTTTTCCCTTGAAACCCCTGTGTAGTGCTAGAATTTCCCCTCGAATCCCTTTAAGGCTTCGTGTATCTGTACCGCGTTCCCTTTTCTATTCCCTTACTTTCGTGCTGAAACCATCGCCCTTTCTTTCCCTTAATTTCCCCAGTCATCCCTTAAAGAAAGGGACGCCTTCAAGATGTAGGAAGGATTTTTCATATAGTTGTGTGTACAATGGCTTGGTACTAGCGCTCTAATTTTCAAGAAGCTGTTTTGCAAGTAATGTGTGTCACGAGTTTGCTACGTTCATAGGCAGACGATGTAAATACACCCTCTCTAAACAAACCATTTCCCCTAAACCCTGAACCCTAAACTCTAAACCCTAAACCCTAAACGCTCAAAGACTCCTACGGCCTCCAGGCCCTCTAAGAATCCCAAGTTCTCTAAGACTCCCAAGCCCCCTACACTTCCTAAGGCCCCGAAGCTCCCCAGGCCCCCTGAGCCCGCCAAGCCTCCTTAAGTCCCGTAAGCTCCCTAAGCTGTCGAAGCCCCCTTACTCCCTAAACAAGTTCGCAGAGCAAGCAGACAGAATTTCAGGACTACAAGCAATCGGTCATGAGCTGTCCTGCAGGCAACGCAACGCCTCCACCCAAAGCGTAACTTAAAATTTCCCTGATGTTTCCCTGTTGCGCTGTTTTTTGGCCCCGATTGTTTCAGGGAAGTTTTCCCTTGAAACCCCTGTGTAGTGCTAGAATTTCCCCTCGAATCCCTTTAAGGCTTCGTGTATCTTTACCGCGTTCCCTTTTCTATTCCCTTACTTTCGTCCTGAAACCATCACCCTTTCTTTCCCTTAATTTCCCCAGTCATCCCTTAAAGAAAGGGGCGCCTTCAAGATGTAGGAAGGATTCTTTCATCTAGTAGTGTGCACACTGGCTTGGTAATTACTGGCGCTCTAATTTTCAAGAAGCTGTTTTGCAAGTAATAGCTCTGGGTTATGTCACGGGTTTGCTAAGGTAAACTACGTAAATACACCCTCCATTAATCTCCCTCGGCACTCTTCTGGGCCCTCTAAGAATCCTAAGCCTCCTAAAACTCCCAATCCCCTTACGATTCCTAAGGCCCCAAAGCCTCCTAAGCACCCTGAGCCCCCTTAAGTCCCGTAGGCTCCCCAAGCTGCCTAAGCCCCCTTGCAATTTAACCGGACTTAATTTTCAAGACTACAAGCAACGGGGTACGGTACTCGTACTGCTCTTCGAATGTGGATGTTCTTATGTTTGGTTCTTGGCGTGTCATTCGCTTACTTAAACGCTAGAAATGTCTCAACGGAGTCAGCGCTTAGCTTGTGCACACAAGTCAGGTAAACAAAGAATACATAAAAGTGTCACAGCTAAAAAAACTTCCAGCTCAAGACACACACATACACACACCCTGGACATAAAGTCACCAAATAAACGCAAAACTTAATGAATGAGATGCTGCAAGGTACGGCGCTCAGCTTGGTCATTGTCTGCGGGACTTGGCTTTGATCGCGGTTTAATAGGCTGTGTATTGAATGAAGGGTTTGGACAAAGATAAGTTGCATCACTTGCTGGGATCATGATGTAGCAGATCTTGTGTTGCTTTTTTTCTTTGTCGGCCACGGTTACTTGTGAAGGAGTAGCCCTATACAGCCGTAATCGGGAACCGGCATCTCTTATAGTTTTCGGCCCACTGCTTTAACGTCCTCTCGGTACCTCACCGCTTTGCTTGGAAAAGCGATGCCCTCGACGATAGAGAAGCTCAAGGGAGCGGAGCTCAGTCTTCAGCTCGCGCAGTTAGAGGCTCGGGTTCGCAAAGCAAGCCCAATGTGCCCGCATTTTAACACACGCCCAAGCCTTAAAGGCGTTCCTATATCCTCTTCCTTTGTACAGGCCGAGAAGTCTGCGGCAAAGGTGAAGGCTGCTACAGACCGAGTGAATGAGCTGAAGGCACGTGTAGCGGCACGTGTAGCTAAGAAAGCAGGTAAGGCCGCCTCTGGTTCGGGCACGTCTTGTCCAGTGGCAGGCAAGCGCACGCGTTACAGTTACGACAGAACGCGCTGCGTTGCTTGTCAACAATGGGCTCGGGTTCACAAAGGTGAACTCAAACACGTTTCCGAAAAGCATAAGCCCTCATGCGAGTGGGGGCGATAGTCTAGCTTTCTGACACGCAAAGCATATGTCTCCTCAGCTGTGACCTGGCTCACGCACACAGTTTTCCACTCGCGGCCAGAGATCTATCTGTATAGCTCTCGGAAAAATATGTTCTTGTTGGGAGGTGTGCAACAGCTCTGTTGCGACTTACTGACGAATGTTCCCTAAACGGCCTGTATGTTTCTCGGATTCAGGGTTAGTTCTTAGGGTAGAGCTCAGGGTTTAGGCTTTAGGATTTGAACTAAACTCCAAACCTTCAACCCTAAACCCTAAACCGCTATGCGTGTAATCTTGCGCCTTGAGCGCTGACGCTCAAAGAGTCCACGCCTCCAGCCAGCGCCCTCACCAGGGAGGTTTTGGTGGTTAGGGTGTGTATAGGCTTTCGGAGTATTGCTAGCTTACCCTGAAGGCCCAAAACACTCTCGTCGCTACAAGATTTAACGTCGCATGTGTCTTACATCTCTCGAAGCTCTTGTCATGTTTTGTTGTTGCTACACTAGAGCTAGAG